GGGGGGGAGGGAGAGGGGGGGAGTGGCGAGATGCGGGCGATCCCGCCGCCGCCGCCGCCGCCGCCGCCACCACCACCCGGGTGTCTCCTCTGGATGCGGCCGGGCTGCCGTCGGAGGGCGAGCGGGAAGGCGCGCCGCACTTTGGGGCGAGCAGGACTCTCGGGTCATTTATCTGCGCGCCCGGCTTGGCGGGGGCAGGCAGGGAGGCGGTCCCGGGGAGGGGTTTCCCGCAGGCCGGACCGGGCTCCGTGGTGCTCGCACCCGCGTTCACCCCCGGTGGGCGGGGTAGGGAAGAGACCGGAGGGACGGCGGCTCGCTTCCAAAGCGGAGCGCAACTTGGAGCGGGGCGCCCGCTGCCTGCTCACCGTTCCGTTCCTCTGCTGGGCTCGCCGGACTAGCTTGCCCAACTCGGTCCGGAGGTGGGCCTTCTATACAGGTGAGGCCCTGAGCTGTCGGGTCCTCCTCCCCTCGACGAATACAAGAGACGGCTCCCGTGTCAGGTATCTCTGTGGGAAAACTCTGCCTGGTGTTGCCAGAGGTCCCTTGATTGGACTGCGACTCCCAGAACTGGAGTCCCCTGCCACCTAGGCAGCAAGGTCAGTGACCGGGTGGGAAACGATTGACATTTGCAGCATCTGGGAAAAGTTTGAAAAAACACTGGTTTTGGACTACATCTGCCAGAATCCCCGTGCCAGCAGGAGGAGGGCTGGCACAGGGATTCTGGGATGAGTCCAAGTAACAACATAAGGCTTTTAGCACTTCACTGGCATTATCTCGGTAATTACAGCAGCTTTGTAATAGATCATTCTGCATTCCTGGATAGCTAGGCAGTGAAGGCCAGGCAGGAAGAAGAGCCTAAATTCAGGACGTAACTGACATCGCCCCTCCTGGATGAAGATTGCATATATGGATCTTACTGCTAAGCACGTGTGAGGTTCTTCCCCTGAAACCCATTGAAGTTAACTCTTGTACAACACATTTAAGGGTGGGCGGGGTATAGAGTGCAAGGAGACACTTCCTCCATATAGGGAGCACAGACTCATTGCAGAATATCTTATCAACCAAATTAAGAATCTCCTTGGGAGGCCTTTCACAAGTGTCTGGATAAACAACTGTTGAGATTGGCTTTAACAGTAAGGATGATTCGGGGGTCAGCGTTGACATTACAAAAAGCATGTCACTAGAAGAGGGAATTCCTTGACCGCTTCAAACATCAGATTGCTTTGATTCCCCCCCCCCCATAGATTGCAAATTAGCTTCTTTTGTGATTGGTCTTCAGGAGATAAATATGGACTTGCTTTGCAAGTCTTATTTCTCAGCTCTTTTGGAACCAAGTTTCCCTGTTTGTGCCAGCCAGATTCAATGAGTGTAGCTGCCTTCAGTGCAGAGAAAATCATGATGTATATGTTGGAAAAATAGCAATCTTGCATGCACTAACACTGGGTATTAGTAGGAGGATGGTTTAAAGTGATTGTTCTTTGCCATTAATTTGACTTGTAAAGTTTTCCTGCCTCAGGAATTTTGAGACAAACCCCTTCTTCTCACTTCTTGGCTTCTTTTGTCTTATTGATTGCCTTCCCTTCTTCCTCTGTCTGTGCTCTGAGATGTAGGCATGGGGTTTCTCTCCAAGTCTAGAGACTCCATTTTACCCTTTTTTCTCCAGCTGTAACTACAATACCACAACTACATTTTTTCTACTTCAAAATGTTTCTTAGAGTGACTTTTAATTCAGAAAGAGTTAGTGTTCAGCCAGAAAGGGTTTGGTGAGACAGGGCTGATCTGTCCATGTTTCTGTGTTTTTCTACTCTAACCAAAAGAACAACCAAATTCCTGGAAACCTTTTAACTTAAATCCCCAGGAGTGTGTGCCTGCCCTAATTATTATAAGTCGAGAAGTCTCACAGAGGAAAAAAGAGGTCAGCTATGACTCACCACTAATATTTTTCAATATATACAGGGGTTCAAATTCAAACTAAGACCTAAACACCCAAGAATTCTGGTTCTAAACATAATCTACCAGATTTCTTTCTTCAGTTTGCCAGTTATTGGGTTCCTTCCATCTTAAATGTGATGGCATTTGTAAATGATGATCAGTTGTTACTGAAGACAACCTGGAATGAAATACAAACATTTCAATTTCTTGAAACAGGCGGTCTCATAACTCATGGCTGTCCCCTGTTATATGCAGAGTTATACTGCTTCTGAACTTAGATGGTTACTTTTTTTGAACAGTCACTCCCAGAATCCTCTGGGCAAGGCAGTAGTTCAAAAAAATTCCAAGCTCAGCTCTGCTCAAGAAAGTCCCACTGTCATCTCTGTAGACATCGTATCTTCTGCGATGTGGTAGAAGCTCAGAAATAGCATTATGATAAGTTAGGAATATGGATTCTGTTATTCTGGTATGTCATAGTGCTTTACTAGAATCTTTCAGCTAATCGTTCCTGCCCAGTTTCACACTGGTTCAGTTGGGGTATTTCAGACTGCACCCCACATGTATGACAGTCTGTAGCCTTCACTTCCACATGTGGTAAGGTAGTTCTGCCCTCTTTGGGCGCCCTCCTGCTCATTCTGCTGAGGGGACATCGGATTTCTACCCCAAATTTTTGCCCTGATGGATCCACTTCACTTGCACTTCTATCAATTTGCTAAGCCCTTATTTTAGCTCTCTGTACAAAAGCAGTGGAATTTGTTTGCTTCCGAGTCAGTGGGACTACTCCAGTAAGAGTGTTGGCCACCCTGGCTGTAGCCTGCAGGAAGGTTATGGCAAAAATATTCAACAGATTCACTGGGCTACTGAGTGAACCTGTGTAGGATCAGGCTATATGTTTGAGTCTGAAAGGCTTGCCTTCTTTGCATGCATTTTCCCAAGGAAGGGAAGTTTGAGACACAGAAGCTTGCTAGCTTGAGTCATGTTTAAGACATATAGTTGAGAGCCAAGGGGTCTGGATTCTGTTCACTTCTACTATGGACTTCCTGTCTGACCTTTGGCAAGTCACGTTAACCTCTCAGGGTTTGAGTCACCCCATCTGTGAAATGGGAATGATAGATAATACAGTTTCATTTATTCACAGCTGTGGTGTGGATATAATTCATCAATGCTTTGCTTAAAAAAAACACTACATCTCTTCTCTTGGATGTGGCTGATGAACCATGGTAGAATATATATTTTGAATTGTGTCTTGTTTTACTTTCAACAGCAATGTAAACAATGGCTTTTTCTCCTCTCTTGAAATTTTCTTTTAAAATTATTTATATTAAAAGATGGTATAACAGGTTGGCTTTAATCAGAGACACATCAAATAATAGTTCTCTTCTAATATTTACTAGATGTATTATTCTACATATCCACTTCTTTTATATACATGGAAATATAGATAATCCTCTACAGAGATGTGCAGAATCTAGTCCTGGGGGGGTGCATTTTAATCGACACTGAGGGGCCAATACACTCCAGTGCAACCAATCAGAGATCCTCAAATTCTCTCTTCCTCCATGGTACAGGTCAAGGAGAATTTCAGGCATTATTAGGTGTGGGAAGAGAAGAACTCATTACCATATGTCAGTGGTCTCTCCCTTTTGTGTCTTACCCAGCCACCCCTTCTTCATGCATCATCTTCAGGCAAGTGTCTTAAGATCACATCACACATTAAGGCAAAGGCACATCTCCTCTTCCTGGAGCATCCCTCTCTAGACCCACAAATATTTTAGAGCTACCTGCCTGAGAAATCATACATGAAAACAAAGCTGTGCATATTCCCAATTAACCAATCAGAAAACAAAAGTAGGCTAATTATCATAGTGAGGGCAATAGCTAGCGTGGGATCACATTAACAGGCAATTTTGTCCTTTTCAGGGTACTCTGCTTATGATGACGTGTTAATGGGATCAAGTAATTTGGCACATAAACAGGATTTTGGACTATGTTTTACTTGAATGTTATCAGCTGGACTGTGCAGAACTGGTTGCTGAGAATGACTTCATGTCATTAAGCATTTTCTGTCACTTTGTGGGAGAGTCAACTGAAAACTGGCAATTTTATCGATTTTCCAAAGTTTAAAGAATCTTTAGCTCCTGACAATATTTGGGGATAATCCTTCAGATTTCTCAACTGAGTTTTAAAACTTACGGATTCTAGCTCCACAAGAATGAGGCTTTTCTTAAGTCCCAGAATATAAGTGATCTAAAATAATATTTTATCTATCAAAAAGCCTTAAATAATCATGCAGTGTTTCCTAATTCACGTATCTATCACTATCCTAAAATCCTGGGGAGAAACCTGGATAGAAGAGGAGGAGAAATATTCATTGTAATTACAATATTCAAAATATCTGATTTAGGAGAACTAGGACTGCAAGTGCCGAAGGAGGCTTTGGCACCAAGCCTGGTAATGACAGAGACTCCTCAACCAGGATATCCAAAGATAACAAATATTTTACCAGAATTCTCTGAGGAAATAAGCCCCTTTAGACTCTCTGATTCTTAGGCCTGACTCTCTGTAAAAACACAACATGGGATCTGAGGAAGAGAGGATAGGGTGTCACATTATAGCTGAACAAGAATGCAGCCATAATGTGCAACCGAGCAAATCAACATTCTGCAAGGCAGTTCTAAAAATGGGGGAAGACCAAACAAAAATGTGTAATTTTGAAACTGGGCTTTGGATCAGCACCTACATTTGGCACATATGTAGCAGATAGTCTGCTCTTGCTCTGTGCCAAATGTTGTGAAGTTTGGGCAAAGGGTTTCTCAAGTTATGATTTTTTAAACATAAAACTGCCCCCGTGCAGAAACAAGTGACCCCAAATTGCGTCCCTTGAAAGAAAATTGTTGATCCTGAAACAGTTACCCTGACAACTGCTTTGTGTTTTGATGAGAAGTGACTAACTGATGAGAAAA